AGATTGTATAATCAGTGCCTTATCTTTTGCTGCTTTTGGGCATCAGGCAGCCCTTCTGTCCCTTACTGCGTCCTCCCACCTTCTTGTTCGTTCCTCGTGTTTGTGCTTCTAAATAGTTTCCTGCTAGAACCCAACCACTGGCCAGTGCGGAGGCTGCTTGTCTGGGCTGGGGTTAGGTCTCCATGAGGGGGAGAAGGAAGGTCTCAGTGCCCCTCCCCGCTTGGTTAGCTCCCTCCACTGTGAATCCCCATGCAGGACACCTGTAACCCTGCAGCTTGCCCGCTGGGGAACCCAGAGCTGTGGCATGCCCAGGGTCACCTGAGCGCTGACCAAGGCCCCTGCTTGTCTCCTGGTGCCAAAGCCAGGGCTGCGGGGAGCCTTCAAGGTTCTCTTGGCAAGGACTGGCTCCAGGCTGCAGGGCTGAGCATCAGCTGTCTCTATGGCAGCACCGTGCTCCCACCCCTGCACTTGGTCCTGCATTTGGTCCACTCTTGGAGTGGCTGTTATTTAGCCAGTCCTCACGCCTTTGCTCTTCTCTGACTTACTGTTCTGGCTACAGCTTGCTGAGAAAAACACTTGAGAGTCTTTCACCCTCCACACCCACGCACTTAAAATACCAGGCCCATAGGTCATTTTAATGAGGGAATTTGGCGAGTAACGCGTGTGATTCTGGGGTGCGGCTACCACTTCCGCAGGTGCTGGCCAAGATGGGCTGCGTCTCAAGAGGGATGGGCCGGGAAGTGGTGGGGGGCAGAGTGTGGGGGGTCCTGAAGCTCAGCGGGTCAGTCCCGTGTGCCCACTGGCCGACTGTCCCCAGTTATCAAGCACAGTGCCAGGGCGGGTCGGAGGAGCACGAGGAAGTGGAAGGCAGAGTTTTCCTGGAGTGGGAAAATGTCACACACACCTGTGAACAAAATGTCATCACTTATTACCTCCGTCTATGAGGTAATAAGCAGATGTGCCGGTGCTCAAGGCTTTAAACAAGAGCCCATTGTGAGGGAAGCGACCAGAACATCTCCACGTCGGTGAACCACGTCACTGGGGCCAAAACGCTCCAGCTAGTAGCTTTTGCTGGGCAGGCACTTCGTATGACTGCACATAAAATGATGGGCATAAAATGATAGAATTATAATTATGAGCAACAATTTCACAAATATTCACTTTGGTTGAATTTCATTCCCGATTAAGTAGGCCAATCTGTGGTTAACCAGGGGGCGGCATTAAACACTCAACTGCCAGGAGTCCAAATTCAGCTCAGTGAGAAGCTGCTTTTGAATTATAACCCACGCTTGCAGTTAGCTGTCAAGCACATTCTGGGTATAGTGAGGCCCCCGGGACTATATTCACTTTTTTTTTTTTTTTTAAGATTTTATTTATTTATTTATTTGTCAGAGAGAGCAAGCACACAAGCAGGGGAAGGGGCAGAGGGAGAAGCAGGCTTCCCGCTGAGCAAGGAACCTGACGTGGGGCTCGATCCCAGGACCCTGGGATCGTGACCTGCACTAAAGGCAGATAGATGCTTAAGCGACTGAGCCATCCAGATGTCCCTATATTCAGTTTTTTGGGCAGTGGTAGAGCAGGGGAAAACTACCAAGAGTCTGGATTCCTGATGCTAATGTCACCGACTTTGCAAGTAGAGATTTGGGATCCCATGACAATAATGTGAAGAACAGTGGGTGTAAACCTGAGAGATCTGGGTTCTTTTGTGTATACAAGCTGTGTGACTTTGGGCAAATTGCTTAACGTCTCTGACCCTTAGCTTTGCTACCTATTAACCAGGAACAATAAAATCTATCTTGTTTATTTCACGAGAGCATTATAAGGACCAAATGCAGTAGTATATGGGAAAGTGTTTGAAAGTTTGTGAGTTCTCCACAAATCTAGAAATGCCAGTATTATAAAGACGGTAATGCTTTGCTGTCATTTAGGAAACCAAGTATAGGATGGTTATAGCAGGGCTGCCACAGGGATGCGACCCATTTCAGGGGGTAGAATGCACAGGTGCCTATGAAGCAGCTGTGACTCACAGTGCCAAGAACCGGAATTCTTAAGACACTCGGTGTCTGAACTCGAACTAGGTTGAATAATGTTCCCTAAAAATTCATGCTTACCAGGAACCTCGGAATATGTGACCTTATTTCGATAGAGGGGCTCTGCAGATGTAATCAACAAGGCAAGGGCATTCTGGGTTAGGGTGGGCCCTAACTCCAATGACTGGTGTCCTTACAAAGAGAAGCTGATTTGGAGACCAAAGACCCACGGGGAAGAAGGCCATGTGACAACAGAGGCAAAAACTACATGATGCGGCCGCAAACCGATTGCCAGCAACTACCAGCACTGGGGCAAGGCCAGCAGGGATCCTCCCCTAGAGCCTTCAGAGGAAGCGTGGCCCTGCGAACACCTTGATTTTGGACTTGTGGCGTCCAGAAGTGTGAGAGAGTGCATTTCTGTGTCTTCAGCCTCTGCTCCGGGTCTGCACTGGTTTGTTACAGCAGCCCTAGGACGCTGATCCAGTGTTTTTGTGGAATCTGAAAGGCTGAAGCCACAGGCAACCGAGGAAGCACACATGTGTCCGTGAACGAGGGCGCCGGGAGGGCTGCGAACTCAGAAGGCACGGTCAGAGTTGCAAGTGACCTTGCAGGTATCCCACAAGCCCGGAACCGTCTGTTTTGCAGACCAGGAGACTGGAGAGGTCAAATCATTAGTTACAAGAACTCCAACCTAACCCTTTTTCAGGAAGAGCCCCCCGCCTCCACATCACCGTGCCCACCTTGCTCGCTGAACCTGACCTGCGGCCCCTCCTGCCAGCCCCCCTACTTTGGCCAGATGCCAGGGGAGAGGTGATCTGGGGCGTCTTCCTGCAGCCACACGTGAACCATGTCCTCAAGATGGCAAATCCCTGAAGCCCAAAAGGAAGGAATGTTCTCGGGCTTCCAGAAGAGAAGAGCTGCTGATGGGAAGATCAGTCTGGGGGCCAGGCCTCCCGGACTTCTCCAGTGCTCTGGCCCCCATGGGCACCTCTCCCCAGAAAGCAACCTCACCTCGCCTGGCAGATAGGTTGGCCGTGACTTTGGCTGTAAAGCCAGGCTGGCCAAAGCCGGTTTCAGCATCCAATCGCAGCTTGTCATTGTTCTTCTTATCGTAGTCTTCCCTGGAGGCACAGTACAGATCCTTGGGGATTGTTCCCTGGGGACTTTTCATGATTAGGAATCGCTGGCTTGCGGCGGCCAAAGATGACACAGTTGACCCTTGAACAACATGGGTTGAACCACGCAGGCCCACTTACATGCAGATTTTTTCCGATAAATACAGTATAGGACTGTAAACGTATTTTCCTTACGATTTTCTTAATAATGTTTTCTTTTCTCTAGCTTACTGTATTGTAAGAACACAGTATATAATACAAAGGAAATGCAAAATATGTGTTAATTGACTGCTTACATTGCGGGTGAGTCTTCCGGTCAGCAGTAGGCTAATGGTAGTTTTGGGTAGGTCAAAGGTTATACACGAATTTCAACAGTGCAGGGGTCGTCAACCCTAACCTCTGTGCCGTTGGAGGGTCTACTGTATTTTTACTGAACTTTTTTTTGTGGTTTTCTTTTGTATTAAAACATGCATGACAGTTGAAAGTATCCTGCTCTAACTTGAGGAAGGAAGACAAGTTGATTTTTTTTTTTTTTTTGGACAAGTTGATTTTTAAACGGTTTCAGAACAGATAGGGGAATGAATGGACCTGTTTTGTTTTCCTTTCATTTCTTTTTGGTTTTGTTTCATTTTACATGACTAAGAGGAGAAACTGTTAAATAGAAACCCACTGCCCTGATGTGGGCGGTCCGAACATCATGCTTAGTCAAACCTTAGAATCCTGTTGGGGAACTCTGAGAAAGAGAAAAAGAAAAATAGTAAAAGTGAGCACAACACACACACACACTCGCACGCATACCTTCGAATATCATGCCCCAGATACTGTTTTAATGGTTTTACTCCTATGAACTCATTTAACTTCCCCCAAAATGCTATGAGGTACAGCATGCTATGGGAAATGCTGAGGCACAGAGGGGTCTAGGGCCTTGCCAAAGGACAGCTAGCCAGAGTTCAAACCCAGAGTTCATCCTCTGAACCACTTGGCCAAGAAGTGTTTTAAATACCTAATATAGGTGCATATTAATACTTATATTATTAATATTGTTGGTCTATTTATATTAATTATTTACTTCCATGTTAGTAATTGTCTTCTAACTTATAAAAATATTTTTAAATAGTTTTTAAAAGTTACCAAAAGCATCGCGGTAGACATCTGTAATGAAAACACGCTCACGTCCCACGTGTGTACGTAAACTGCTTAGGTGGAGATCCACGTGTGTATATATGTTTATAGTCCTTATTGAATCTCAATCTGTCAGTTACATATCGTTAAGTCAGTTTATTGACTATAAATTTTGTCTGGCCAATCTCTTGAGTGCCTCTAATGACATCTAGCATTTAAAAGTAATATTTAAAGTCAATTAACCAGCAATTAGTGTTTTTGAAATAGAGAATAATTTTAACTTTGCCTATTCACCAACTCAGGAATTCTGTGTTTCCTAACCCTTAGAGGGACAGGCAATGTTAGAAGGGAAAGAGGGATACGGTTTCTTTTACTCCTTGGGGACAGTTACGGGGGAGTGGACAGCTGCCAATCCGATCCCATGTTCCCGGGAGTCTCGACTTGAAAGAAAACAAAACCGAATCTCTCTTGATCCTGTGTTGTTTATTGATGATTTAACGAAAGCCGCATAACCATGCAAAGTGTTAACATCTAGACAAACACCGAAGGTGTGCATTCCAGAATTTAAGGGAAGCCAAAGCTAAGGCAGTGTTGGAAAAACCACTCACTTATGCTGAAGAAGTACCACCTTTCCAGTCTGAGGGCTGGAAGGCATAAATTAATGGTCAACTACCCAGAAGATATATTCAGACCATGCCCTCATTTTTCGGTGTTCTCTTTTGTGTTCCAACAGGGAAAAGCTTCACTCTGACCATCACCGTCTTCACAAATCCACCGCAAGTTGCCACTTACCACAGAGCCATCAAAATCACAGTGGATGGACCCCGAGAACCTCGAAGTAAGTGGGCCCCCCATGGGGCTGGCATACCTTCTGGGCTGGTAAACTGAGGCACCAGGGATGGTATCTCAGAATCCTTGGGTTGAACTGTCACTGCTCAAATGTGGCTAAAACCTCTGTCAGAGAGGACTGTGAGGCCCCTGCAGGGAGAAAGGATTTTATTGTTGACACTCACCCCTCAAAGTTTGTCTCTGAGCCCTGGGCTCCTTTTAAAGCATTCTCTTAGGGGGCAGAGAAGCAAATCGGGCTGAGTCAGGTGCGTGTTCGAAGCATTTGGGGGCTGCAGGAGACTGAGGACTAGTCCCTCAAATACACGGTGAAGTTCAACAGGATCAGAAACAAACAGTAAATGGAAGATTGGCCAGCCACAGGGGAGGCCAAAAAAATACCTGAGCTTCAGAGTGGACCACAAGGGGCTGATTACTATCCATGCTGGCCTTTTATTCATTTGTTAAGGCCAGAGATGAAAACTATGAAAATGACCTTTTTCTTTCTGTGGCACAGATCAGAATCTTATTACAGGACTGATGAAAATAGAGAATGGGAGGGCAGAAGAATTCCTGGGGGAAAACCAGTAAATATAGAAAGACGGTACCAAAAAAAAGAACTCCTGTGAGGAGAGCTTTTTTAAAAAGCAGTGGGGTTGTTTAGTCTGCAGAAAGATGTCTTCACGGTGACTTAATGACTATCTTTGAGTAAATACAAGAGTAACACTCTTTTCCAGAGCCACACCCTTCCCCAGGACGGAGGCTGGGTTCTGCCCAGCGTCGGCATGCCTCCAAACCGTATCAGGTCCCTGGTGGAAAATGAGTACTCTCTCTTCTGATGGGAGAGCGATTCAAAAACAGGGCTTCCCACTATGCCTGGAGGTTGAGATGCAGGGAGGTCAGGTCATAAACCGGAGTGGTTAGGAATTTGGGCTCTGGGGGCAAAACAAGTGGAGTTCTGGTTCAGGCACATAAGCCTTCAGCAAGTTACGGAGCCTCCCTGGACCTCAGTCTCCTCGTCTACAATGGAGACAATCGTAAGAGCCTCTTTCTAAGACAGAAGGAGACAGTGCTCTGTGCCTGGCGCAGAGAATGAACTCAGCAATGTTCTCCATCCCCAGTAGAGGTTCCCTGGCTGCCTCTGAGGCTGGGGCTCGGCGGGGCAGTGCCTCCTGGGGTCCTGGCTGCAGCCTCAGCGTGTCTCGATCACCTGCTAGAACCATCCCATGCACTGCCTCAGCTTTCTCAATGCCCTAGAGTGGGGAGAACCCCCCACCCCCACCCCACACAAGGAACCACCATACCCACCAGGGACAGCCCCCCCGGGACATGGTATTCCATTCACCGTCCCCTTACTGCCATTCGCCTAGTCCGTGACTCCCTTTATTTCTGACCTCATTTACCCCCTCTCAGCTTTTTCTCTTGAAGTCATGGAGACGATCTGGTCATGCCCAGACTCAGGAATCTCTGGGAGTTGATAGCGTCCCCCGATCCCAATTTACGTTTGAAAAGCAGGTCACGGGCACGGGACCACACAGTGACAACCAAACCCACCTTCATAGGTTTCCCAAGTAGGAGCAGCAAACTGAAGACTCATAGTGACCCTGTTATGTTAATAACGTGACAGAAACATGGCGCAGGCGCCTTGGCTTTCCACAGAGGACCAGAGAGGAAGCAGGCTTCGGTTCTAGCAAGGCACAGGGCTGGGGGCAGGCAGTTGTGAGGTGTAAGGAAGTTGACTTTGAGGGTAATTAAACTTTGAGAAAGGCCCATCAGGTGGCTGTAGAATCTCTCTCTTCAAAAAAATAGAAGCCGTTCAATCATTGAACACTATATCAAAAACTAATGATGTACTATATGGTGGCTAACTGAACATAATAAGAAAAAAAAAAATAGAAGTCGTTCTAATGCTGACCTGCCTGGAGGAATAAGCCTCAACCAGTGACCCCTTGGTATACCTCTACCTGTTACTCTCTCGTGAATAAAAAAAAGGGGCGGGTTTTGCCCCACTGCCCATATTTCCCGTAACATTCAAAGACCCACCCAGGCGGCTGAGCTTCAGAAGACAAATGGTGGGTGCTCTGACTTTTAAGAATTGGCAGTCAGAGCAGGAAAATACGGTATTGTAATGACCTGCCTGTATATACAGTTTACTGTCCTGCTGTTTTATAACTTCAGAAAACAGTCATTATTGAGAAGGGCTCTTTGAACAGACAGAAGGGATTTGCTCCAAGGAGACACCCGTTTTTATGGAGTCTTTCCTGTCAAATGGAATTAGGAAAAATTAAATGGAAGGTAGTAGGCATGGTATAGAGAGGTGTCAGAGTCCCAGGTAGATAGTCCCACACAGCACAAAGGACTTCTAGAAAAAAAACTGAATGCACACAGACTCCCGGGGTGGCTTGAGTAATGCCGACTTTTCTATTCACCCCAAGAAGCAAGGGTGGGCCCTCAGTGCTAATTTTCGTGTGCTGTCTTCCTTATTATGTGAAAATCTAGATTCAAGGTGGGAACTACTTTTTGATGAAGCTCTGCTCACAGCCTCCCTCTTTCTTCCTTTCTTTCATTCTCTTTCTTTCTTTCTTTCTTTCTTTCTTTCTTTCTTTCTTTCTTTCTTTTTTTGTAAAGAGAAAATCAAGAGAGTGTTTTTCAGCTTTACTGAGATATAATTGACATATAACATCGTGTAAGTTTCAGGTTTACAACATGATTTATGTATATATTGCACAATGATTGCCGCTATAAGATGAGTTAACACATCCATCACCTCAAACAGTTACTGTTTGTGTGTATGTGTGTGTATGTGTGTGATGAGAACTTTTAAGATCTGTTCACCTGGCAACTTTCAAGTATACAGTACAGCACTGTTAACTATAGTCATCACGCTATACATTACATCCCCAGGACTTGTTCATCTTATAACTAGACGCTTGTACCCTTTGACCACCTTCACCCACATCCCTGCACTCCCGCTCGGCCCCCGTCTCCTGCCCCTGGCATCCACCAATCTGCTGCTTTCTGTTTCTAAGAGTTCTTTTTTTTTTAGATTTTACATGTGAGATCATACAGTACTTGTCTTTCTCTATTTGACTTATTTCACATAGCATAATGCCCTCGATGTTCATTCATGTTGTTGCAAATGGCAGAATTTCCTTCCTTATAAGGCTGAATAATATCCCATTGGGTGTGTGTGTGTATTTTTTATCCATTCATTTATTGATGGACACTTAGGTTGTCTCTGGTCTTGGCCATTGTGGATAATTTCACTTTCTAATGTCATGTTAAGAGAGGTCATTGCATGTCAATCAGGATGCCCAGACAGTGTCACATCTCTGGATTAATAACACCTCCCAAGTCCCTATTATCATTATGGGGCTATGAATTCTGGTCGATCCTGGCAAAGTGGCTCCAGCATTCTCAGGTCAGTAGTTTTGGAAAGTTCTGTTGTTTCATGAAATCAAAGACTGGGGGAGCTGAAGAAAGAGCCTCTGGGCCTTAATGGCCTCAGATTAGAAAAAAGGGAAAAGCCCAGGGAACTGAAATGATGTGCCTTGGTTAAAAAGAAATAGTTGGTGATGAATAGTATGTACTCCTGGTACATAATCCTGCACTCCCGTCCGTCCATCCATCTGTCGGTCCGTCCGCTGCACCTCTCCATCCACCTGTGCTGTGTGTACACTGACCTCTTCTAGACTCTCTGACGTGGCTTTGTAGCCTCGAGTTTGAAATGAGGTGTTGGTTTGCAGGACTTCTCACATTCATGCCAGCTGGGAGATGGTCTAGAAGGGGCAAATGGCGGTGCCTCGTGGCAGGCATGGAGGCTTCAACTTGAAACAGTCGAGCAAAAACCCAGCAGGGAACCTTATGTCGCTTGCCCTGACACTGAGGTAAAAAGGACTAAGCACTAGAGAACATGCCACAGCCGACCGTCAGCCAGCCCAGTGGGATCACTTGATGCTTTCCGCCTCAGTTTCCTGGTTTTCTGAAGGTGCAGCAGAAAGTGCATTCCAAAGAGAATGGAAAATGGTTTTCACCTCAGATGGTTACTTAGAGCAACTGACCTGCCGCCTAGGGAGTCACAACTTGTTTTTTCCCACATTCCACGGGATTTTATTGACATCTCAGACTAATAGAAAAATTACCAATGGATGAAAAATTGAATTTATCGTGGAGAAGAGCCCCATCAGAAGGTATTCTGGGCTGGGCTCCGTTCTCGCAAGCAGCAATGGGGAATCTGTGTTCAGTTCATAGATAGAACACTTTGAGGCTTGTAATATATTGAGAGATAGTCAGGTTTATTTCATTAAATGTGAAAGATAGACTGACAAAGGGATTTTTCAGGACAAGGATATTTGAGAGCTGTTTTTATGTATATTTTTTTATTTGGGGGGGATCCGGTGAAAAACTCTAGCTCTAGAACCCATGCATCTGTAATATGATGGTATTAAGATACTGAAGCATATTCTCTGCAGAGACTATGTAGTACCTCAGTGCCATGGAGGAAGATATTTTGCTAAGGAGAGATTAAGCAGTTGGGACCCTGAGCGACCCGATGGCACGGGGTGGGGATCCCAGGGATATGAATTGGGTAGTCATTCTGATGTCACAAGCCATCCCCTGTCTGGCCAGGTATCGGTTACATCTGGAACACTGAGTAACCTAATTGAAACTTGAAAAGATTAATACAGCAAATATTGGCCATTTCTGGGGCAACTCCTGGCCTCAGGTTCAAGGAGTCCCTCACAGAAACTGTGTTGTGCTGGCTTGGAATTCACAATCACAGATAGCTAGGTGGAGTCCTTAAAAACTTTGGAAAATGCTTTTTTCTGGGGCACTAGTCTTCTTGCTGACTAACCTTTTTTGAATAGGGAATCATAGTTAAAATAGGTCCACCGGAGGGCCTAACTCTTTATCACTCAATCGCATCGCTAAGGACTTTGTTGAGATTGCATCACACAAATATATTTCCTTCTATGAGTTTGAATGGAAGCAGCATATCTCTAACAGAGAGAC